TATGTAACTCATTAAATATCGAAATTAGAAGAAGAATGCACTATTTTTAATTATAGGAAATGCGGTTTTCTAATGTTACATAAACTTTTGGGATTTACTGTATAGCCAATACATCCTTAAGCGAGACTTCAATAAAATTGATCATCCCCCCATTAAGTTTCTGGGATCGATTATTTCGGAAGAATCGCACAAAGAATAAATCTGTTCTTTTAATTACAAGTGTCGTTCTGATCGTGTTACAGCATCGTATCACGATGTCACGGGCCATTCTGCAAGACTCGCCGAACGCGGCTTTAGACAAAACCCTGTTGAGCAAGTATTTCGACCTGCCACAACCGCAGGACAGGATTCAAGCGAAATACATCTGGATCGATGGCACCGGCGTTGGTATGCGAAGTAAGACCAGGACGGTCGAATTCATCCCGGAACATCCGAAACGTTCGTATATCTTTCACGCTAATTAAATCCCGATTTAAATACTAATCTCATTCACGTGCACTCTAATGCGATTTTGAACGCTACGTTACGATAGAAAATGTTAAGGATACCACTCAGTTTCCTGTCTACTGTAACACGCAATATTATTCATCTCTGTTCTATCCTATCCATTTAAATCTTCGAGGATAACCCGGGAGACCTGATGCTCGAAAACGTAATAAGCATTCGTATCTCGAAACGTTCGTCCTCTATTCATTCCTCTTTCTCATGTACCATTTTCGACTCGTACATGCGACTCGAGCGTACTACGCGCAGAATATTAAACAGCTATGAGATTCAACGTGGAAAACAGTCCGCGATGAAAATATTTGTTACTTCCGCGAACACCGTCCATCATTATTCATGACGTTCGACGTACGTTACAGAACCATTAACGTCTGCGTAGTAGTCAAAGGAATCTTTTACGCGCGTAGAGATATTCATTAGCCACTCGCTATTTTTTAATAATCGCTAGAGGAATTTCAATAAACGATCTGTTTATAATTTTCAGAACTGCCGATATGGACGTACGACGGGAGCTCGACGTATCAAGCGGAGGGAACGAACAGTGAGATCTACCTGTGCCCGGTGGCGATCTACAACGACCCGATCCGTCGCGGTAACAACAAGCTGGTGCTCTGTGACACTTACTACAGTGACATGACTCCGACCGCGGCGAACAAACGTTACAAATGTAACCAGGCGATGGAGGCCGTGAAGGATCACGATCCGTGGTTCGGGATCGAGCAGGAGTTCACCTTCCTCGACTTCGACGGCAGACCGCTCGGCTGGCCGAAGAACGGTTTCCCCGGACCGCAGGGACCTTACTACTGCGGCGTGGGTGCCGACAAAGTGATCGGTCGCGAGATAGTCGAGGCTCATTATAGAGCTTGTCTGTACGCCGGCGTTAAGATCGCCGGGACGAACGCAGAGGTGATGCCTTCCCAATGGGAGTTCCAGGTCGGTCCCTGCAGCGGGATCTCCGCCGGCGACGATCTGTGGATAGCCAGATTCCTGCTGCATCGCATCGCCGAGGAGTACGGAGTGATAGTGACTCTGGACCCGAAACCGGTCGACGGATCGTGGAACGGTTCCGGGGCCCACACCAATTTCTCGACGAAAGCGATGCGAGCGGAGAACGGCATCGCCGAGATCGAGAAGGCGATCGACAAGCTGAGCAAGCATCACCTGAGGCACATCCAGGCGTACGACCCGCGCGGAGGAAAGGACAACGAGCGACGTCTCACCGGCACGTGCGAGACGAGCAGTATACATGATTTCAGCGCCGGTGTCGCGAATCGTACCGTCAGTATTCGCATACCCCGTGCGGTCGCCGAGGAGAAGAAGGGCTACTTCGAGGACAGAAGACCTAGCAGTAACTGCGATCCTTACTCCGTGACCAACGCTCTGGTCCGTACGTGCATTCTGAACGAGTAAGGGAGCTTCGCCGGGAAAGAGGATTTGGACGAGATATTTTTTAGTACAATAGCGGTTGTACCTTCGTCGAATTTATTCCGCGGATATCTTTAATAGAAATCTGCTCGAAGCCGTAGATAAGAATGATTACTTTTAGTTTAAACAAATACGTTTCAATGAACCGTCGCGTATCGAGCGATTTACAGTTTGATATGTTTCGAGAGTACGCTGAGATCGATTATAATTGCATAGATATGTACGTAGAGAAAATTATTTTTAGGCCGTTTCCCGTGCACGTAGCGTCAATGCTTCTTACGTCTACCTATTTAATCGTGGCAACCGCGACAATAAGAGTATCGCTTATCGTATCCTTTAACGTTTAACACCCGTAACCGCCGCGATCGAAAGAGGAATGAAAAAGAAACGTAAGTACGAATCTGTTGAACGAACGTCGACGTCGCATTCCTCCAATCGAGTTTTACGAACAGCTCGCATGCAAGGAGTCATTCGATCACGTTAACGCCTCGGTGAACTTGAAGCGTTATCGATTTAGAACATCGATGGTTATTTGCGGTTTTCTTTCTCGTGGGTGAACGCGATAATTTCGCAAGAGCTAAACGACAGGGTCGCGAACGTTCAATCATCTGTCCCGGATTCGCGCGAGGTCGTACGTATATTTTGTCGAGATGCGCTAAGATTTACGAGATTGCCTGTTCCATAATAAAATAAACCAGGGGAAAGAAATGTGTACATGTTAAAACGTGGCAGACGACTTCGTAATAAATAAATGTAATACCTCTTACGGTACTTTGAGATGTTAAAGGGTACCATAATTGACACGTTGTTATGATAATACTAATCTTCGATTGAACTGGGGCACAAGGATTTTTGGTAAGATCTTAAAAATCATCTAGCAAGCGAATTCGTCGAACTGGAAATCGCGAGAATTTTCAAACAACTATTCGAATTTAAGGAGTGTACGGACATCAGTATGCATAATCACCATAGATAGATAGATAGAAGAATTAGATGTACATGGTGTATTTTCATATTTGTATGGTATATTTTCATATTTGTATTTTCTATGCTGACCTCTTCAATATAATTGTATACCGTGACCATTCTTGGTACTGGTCATCGTTGTTGTTGTTATGATAATAAAAAGCAAAATTTTTCATCGAGATTGAATCGGTGTACTTTCATTGGGACAAGTGAGGTAACAGAATACTTTAAACGTAATCGTGGTAATGACGCGAGATAACTATGAGTATTCGCGCCGGTCTCGAATTCTATGAATCAACCCCCGTGATCAGGAAGAGATGAAATCAATTTATATACATGTACATAGGATACGTCGATGATAGACAAAATACAAATCGTTTATACTTGTACCGTCTGGAATCGTTCCTAACTCGTAAACGGCACTCCTTTTACGAATTTCCTGTACCAAAGATACGCCGTGGCAGCCGACAGACAATACCACGTGAGACTGTAATTAAAGTGCTCGTTTCTCAGCTCCACTTTCGTTTGACCGCCTATCGGATACCGATCGTAATTATTGTTAGAGATCAATTCGAGATATATAGGAGACGCATTTACTTTCTCAGCCATCGCGTTCACGTCTCTGAAAAATTGATGCTGCGTTTAGACTTGAATCACGGCGATATTCGAACCTACTGTTTCGATGTCCCCGCGTACCTATAATTCCATATATCGCTGTGCGGCCGATTTTTAGGAACGAACGGTGGCCTTCTCTCGTTTGGCCTCAAGATCCCGACGATCTCTACTTCGCCCTGCTGACTCTCCTGTCTTTTAGCCTGGCTTTTAAGCGATCTGGGAATCCACCCGCGATTTACCAAGATCGTCAAACTGCAAGACACATGCTTTGAGAAGATTCGGACTTATTGTGAATCATTCGCCAAGAAACTCACTCTCTATCTGCCAACTTAAAAGGGGTGATAACATTGTATCCCTTTTTCATTTCACTCGATGCAACGGGTACCTGTTTCCCTGTAGCAGGTTTGCCATCGATTAGCAAAGATCTGTGTCCGATAATGAACTCTTTGTCGTACAAATACGTTCCTCTCACCCTGACAGGATAATACTCCTTCGATTCCAATCCATCTGAACTAAATAAAATGATTCATTGTCCTCCCGGAAACGACACGAACTCATTACAAATCTTATTTCCTCTTACTTCTCTGGCAAGTCGATTGGCTCGTGATTGATACGAGTCTTTAATTTCTCTATTAAATCTAATTTCCATTTAAGCCTTTGAATCTGCCATGTACCAAGCGCGAACGCAGCTATTGGTATGCTCTATACATACGTACGAATTCTTTATAGCGGTTCTATTCACAATTAATTACTCTGACGCTGGTTCATGTCTCTTACCAAGAAACTATATTCGAGAATACCGGTTCCTTCCTTTTTATTCAGCATGTCTTCTTTCATCCTGCCTCTGTACGAATCGACGTTCCTCTTGTACGGTTTCTGTACATTGGTCAAATCTGACAACGATCGAGAGGATCGTTGCTTATTTAACAACTTGATAACGTTCACGTTTAACGGATTTCCTAATTTCGCACAGAGCTTATTAATCGCTGATCTCATTTTCGTAGACTTCCCTTTACTCGCCTTTACCCGAAAGGTTATGACAGATTATGTTATGAGCCGCTCTCTAGATCTCTAGGTTTATTATAGTGCGCAACGTGCGCAACCGTGCGCAATACCAGAAATGACGAGCGAAGGAGCGCTTCGAGCGCTTGTAGACGAATACCCTAGGCACCAGAGATGAAGAGAAAAAAAATGCGCAATCTCCCACTTCATCTCTGGCAATACACGTGCTCGTCCTGTGATCATCTGTGATCGACTAACTGCACGTGTCGCGTACCGTTAAAATCTATTCTAATTCATTATAGGATGCTCGAATTACGTTTAAAGCACTCTGTTACGTAGTTTTCAAAGGAATATTAAAATGTTGGTCGAACCGAAGTTGACGAACACGTCACCGGATTTCGGTAAACCACCCGAAGAACAGAACCCCGTAAATACTTCACGATCTGATTTTTTCGCTTTCACGGCCTAACGCGTTTCGATAATATTTTTATATATTTCAGTTACTACGAAGCTTGGGATCTCCACATACCGATTCTTTTAATTACATGTTGGAGGACGGTCTCTCCGAGGCTGTTAAAGAGAATCCACTTGTTTATATTCACCTACCGAACGAAGACAAGATAGCTCTTTGGATCGACGATGTATCCATCCATCAGCCTACCGTTCCATCCGGTACGATCGGCGTTAAGAGCCACAAAATTTATCCCACGGAATGTCGACAGAGAGGCTGTACTTACAAAGGAAAACTGACGGTCCGATTAGGATGGTCGATCAATAATAAAGTGCAGGAGGCTCTCGAAAGAGATTTAGGAGAGATCCCGATCATGATTAAAGTACGCAGCTAGAGCACTGTTTTGTGAACAATATTTTTAATCAGACGTCTAATAGATTCCGTTTAATGTTCAACGTTGCAGTCTAACAGATGCCATTTAAATAAAATGAGCCCGGCAGATTTAGTGGCTCATGGCGAGCACGAACAAGAATGGGGCGGATACTTCGTGATCAAAGGACTCGAAAGACTTATAAGAATGTTACTAATGACTAGAAGGAATTACCCGATCGCTATTAGAAGACCTGGCTGGAAGCAACGCGGTGTGCAGTTCAGCGATCTCGGTTTGCTTCTGAGGAGCGTGAGAAACGATAACACCACGTCTGTACGTGTCACAGAGCAATGTTCCTTTTTATAAATCTTATACCTACTTATCATACGTTCCGTAGAACAACACTTTACACTACGTTACCAATGGCTCCGCGAAACTGATGTTCACGTACAGAAAAGTTTTATACTACGTTCCACTGGTACTAATGTTAAAATGTTTGATGGACGTCTCGGATATTTTTATTTACAACGCGTTGACAGCCGGATGCGAGGAGGATCTCTATTACAAGGGTTGCATTTTGAACATGATGAGGGCGATACACCAAGAGGATCTGCATAGCCATGAGAAATGCAAAGCTTACATAGGAAGGATATTTAGAATCAAATTTTATGAACTACCGCAGGATGCCACCGACACGGACGTCTGTGACTTTATCATCAAGTAAGTACGATCGTTCTAACACCGGAGTAACTCCGAGTAACGCGTGGTTTTTACAGACACTGTATAGCCATTCATCTTGACAATCCGACGGACAAGTTCAATCTACTCGTTTTCATGACGAAGAAGCTGTTCGCTCTGGCGAATAATAAATGTGCCGTGGAAGGCGCCGATGCTGTGATGATGCAGGAGTGCTTACTGGGAGGTCATTTGTATTTGCAAGTATTAAAAGAGAAATTGTACGGTTGGCTGACCGGGTTGAAAATGGGTATCTTAAAGCGAGCGAGAAGCGCTGGCAATCGATACATTCTAAATCTACGTAAGTACTTCAATGATTCGATGCTTCGTTACTGTACGATTCAAACGATTTTCTCTGTACAGAGGAAATGTTGAACGTAATGAAACACGGGAATTCTCTGGAAGCGCAAATGGAGAACTTTTTGTCTACTGGAAACATCCGGTCCCCGAGTGGACTGGGATTGATGCAAAGCTCGGGACTCACGATCGTTGCCGAGAATATTAACAGGATGCGTTACATGAGCCATTTCCGTGCGATACACAGAGGCTCTTTCTTTCAAGAAATGAGGACCACAGAGGCTAGACAATTATTACCGGATGCCTGGGGTATGATACTTTAATATAAGAAACGTTTACCAAGTATATACTAAAAGATAAATGGCTATTACTGTGTCTATTCGATTTGATTCTAACAAAACGGAATTGTCGAAACAGGTTTCATCTGCCCTGTACATACGCCCGACGGTGCGCCCTGCGGCCTTCTAAATCATTTGACTATGAACTGCATCATTACAAAACATCCCGATCAGAAATTACTAGATAACATTCCTGTTATATTAATGAACCTTGGAATGGTCCCGCTGTCGATTGCTGACAATTGGAAGAACTCATACACCGTAATGTTGGACGGAAAATTAATTGGATTAATAGACGACAATATAATCGCGAGAGTGACCGACAAGTTGCGATTGTTGAAAATCAAAGGGAAAGAGGTACGTCCTATATCTCTAATATAAAGTCAACAGAGTTTTGAATTCGTTTCAATCTAGGTTCCGTACACGTTGGAAATAGCATTGGTACCAAAGAAAAGTGTACCGTCACAATATCCAGGATTGTATCTGTTCACGAGCGCAGCTCGCATGATGCGGCCAGTAATGAATTTAGCTGCCAAGAAGGTGGAATATATTGGGACGTTTGAACAAGTCTATTTAAACGTCTGTGTAACACCCGAAGAAGCTTACGAAGGGGTAATATACCGTCTTCCCTTTATTCGTTCATCGTTACCCTTATTTCGTCTATAAAAAAAATTGTGTTGCAGCTGACATCGCATCAAGAACTATCGAAGACAGCTTTTCTAAGTAATTTAGCATGTCTCATCCCGATGCCAGATTGCAATCAAAGTCCGCGAAACATGTATCAGTGTCAGGTACGACTGTTCGTCAAACCTTTTCCTTCCGTTCGAAAATCCTTGAATTATTCGATCAAATTTTTAGATGGGTAAACAAACTATGGGTACTCCGTCTCATACGTGGCAATTGCAATCGGAGACAAAATTATACAGGCTTCAAACGCCGGCTACACCTTTGTTTCGGCCGGTACATCACGACAAGATTAATCTCGATGATTTTGCCATGGGTACTAACGCGATAGTTGCCGTTATCTCTTACACGGTAAGCACGGAACGATGACCGATCTTTACGTTTAACTTTCACGCGTTCGCATTCGATGCAGGGATACGATATGGAAGACGCGATGATCATAAACAAGGCAGCGTACGACAGAGGTTTTGCCCATGGAATGATCTACAAGTCCGAGTTCGTAGATTTGAAGGATCAACAGAGTTACTTTGCTAGGAATCCCGATAAACCTGAACTCGCGGAGAAGCTAGATACCGATGGCCTTCCCATACCGGGTACAATTATTTCGGAGGGTGACCCATACTATTGGTAAGTTCATAATTCAAATATTTAATAATCCCTTCTGACGTCTCATTCCTTGTCACGAAACCTATATTTCAAATAGTTATTACGACGCGGATCAGTCTACGTACTCTGTCGGGAGATACCATGGAAAGGAGAATGCTTATATCGACACTGTGAAACTCTGTGGTACATTACATAGTAACGTTCCACGTAGAGCCTGCATCACATTTCGTATTCCCGTTAGTAATACTTTAGACGCGTTACAGACGGTGGACGAACGTATTTAATGTTAAACATTTCAGCGTAATCCAAGCGTCGGGGATAAGTTTGCCTCGAGGGCTGGTCAAAAGGGTATTTGCTCGCAGAAGTGGCCCGCGGAAGATTTACCATTCACGGAAACCGGCATGATTCCCGACATCGTGTTCAACCCTCACGGTTTCCCAAGTCGTATGACGATAGGTAAAAGAACGCGACGTACTTGCTTACATATTATACACACGAATATTAAAATGAGACGCGTACTCGATAGCTATGATGATCGAAGTGATGGCTGGAAAGTCGGCGGCCGTGCACGGGTTAGTGCACGACGCGACGCCATTCAGATTTAACGAGGACGATACCGCGGTCGAATATTTTGGGAAACTGTTGGAACGCGGTGGGTACAATTATTATGGAACAGAGAGAATGTACTCGGGTATAGACGGAAGAGAAATGACCGCCGATATTTTCTTCGGCGTGGTACACTATCAACGTTTACGGCACATGGTTTCGGACAAGTGGCAGGTTGGTACAAGAATCGCTTTAATATATTTTGTCAAGCTATCACAACCTCGATCTTTGTCCAGGTGAGAAGCACCGGACCGATCGACGTTCTGACGAGGCAGCCTATCAAGGGTAGAAGAAGAGGAGGCGGTGTTCGATTTGGAGAGATGGAACGAGACTCTTTGATATCTCACGGTTGCTCGTTTTTGCTGCAGGATCGTCTTTTCCATTGCTCGGACAAGACTACTGTAAGCTCGAGCATTCTAAATCTCGTTTATTCAAGGATCTGACGAAACGTTCAATTGTTTCAGACTTTGGTTTGCCAAAAGTGCGGAACGCTACTGGGACCGGTAATGGAGATGACTTTTAGCGCGACAGGAATACGAGATAGGACGCGATGCCGCCTCTGTGGCGATGATGAATCTGTCCGGGAAATCGACATACCGTACATATTCCGATACCTCGTGACACAATTGACGTCTTGCAACATCAATGTAAAATTATCGTTCGCAGAGAGATGAGTCGAACGTATTACTAGAATGTACTTTCCTCTAGCGATAATAATACTTTATTTTACCTAACATTCCATAAACACTTTACTTACAAATTCCATCAACACCACTTTCTACACTCGCCTCATTCTCCTCTTTGCAACATTTATGTACATTTCATTAGGGTTTACTGGATCCGATTAGAACGAACCGAACAGATTCGTTCGAATATGTAAATATATATATGTATATACCTATATACTGTTTTTTTTATCTACACGTAACTACAGACTCGGAACACGAAGGAATGTAACTTCTTTTAAACCGTGATTTTTCAATATCAAGATCGCGTTTTCTTTTTCCCTTAAGTATAACAATTCGTTCTTACCCGCGGTGTAAATCATTTGAACGTATAATATCTGAAGAAGGCAAAATGTACAAATATCAAGCCACACTTACAATCACGAGTCCTGTAACTCTGTCTAAGCTTTAGCCGGAACTTGTGCGCCAGGTTTAGCACCCGGTGCACCAGACGTTCCAGTTTGCTCTTTCTCCAACTGCTTCCCCAAGTACTCCCTGAAAATGAAATTAAATCAAACGCATCGAGAAAGCTCCGACAGCTTTCCTATGCGTTCAACCCGCTTACCAATTGTGCACCATCAGCTTCTGAACCGCGAGAAGAGCTTCGTATCTTACATTAGGATCTTCGTGGCTCAACAACTGCATGACTCGTTGTTTGCCACCAAGCTGTTCAATTATGCTATAGAAATTTAAAACGTTTAAGAAACCTCCTAAACAATTAGTAGAACGGGAACTGTAAAACATCGTTCTCGAACGTACTGTTTGCCACGTGGATAATGTCTAACGTATTCCCCTACATCGAAGCTGGCCACGCTGAGGACCAAGGGATCCTTGCTGGTCTCCAGTAAGTGCACCAGAATACGAAGGAGCTCGTAATTCTTTTCGTTCAGCCGACTGGCGTTCTCGCGCCAGAATTTGCCGGACTTGTGAACAGGAGACCACTCGAGGCGTCCGGATTTCACCTCGGTCGAATACTCGTCGAAGGAGCTCAAGTCTTGAACTGACGCTTGCAGTTTGTCGTTCAAAAATTCAATGTCATCGGTGATGTCTTCGTCATCGAATTTTCGTTGGCCGAGGATCGAAAGCTGTTTCAATACTTTGCACTGCACCATCGCGATGCAGTGTTCCTTGGCTACCTGTGCGTCTTCTACCTTCTCGATCAAGTTCTAAGAAACGTCGTGCGGGAGTTAAATAGGTTTCATAGATCCTGTAGATAACAGTACAGGAAGCAACTCACTCTGAATACTGCTAAGATAATACGAGTCACTTTCTCTTTGACAGAATCGCTCAGTATATCGGCTAGGATGGGAATAACGCTAAATCTAAAATCACGTTATTACTACAGCTTCGAATTTAAAGTACGTGTACTTGCACTATTATACGATACGTACTTGTTCATCTTTTCTGCGAGCAGTGGATTGAAGGTGAGCACCCATATGCAAAATATAAGCTGGTACTGCACTTGGAAGTTCACTCTGCCCGTTAGAACACTGAGCAGAGTGGAGATTCCGTCGACGGATACGAACGCGAAACGGTACTCGTCCGTGCGCAGCATCATTTGCAAGCAACGCGCCACGGACTGAATGTACTCGTTGTTCTGATCGAACAGGGAAAATCGTATATCAGAATAGAGTCGGGGGTTCAAAACGAATTATGTGTGTGCACAGTGAAACGAATATTTCATTTCTGGTACACGTGTGTTAAGAATAAAAAAGAATATTTTATGATAGTTACTTACGTATCACTTCGTTAAACTATTTTTAATTTCAATATATTTGGGACTCTCTTTATTTAGGGACAGGAAATCAGAGATTTTAGTCGTATTATTTAAGTTAAGACCAACCGGATTTTGCAGTTCGTGTAACTCGTGAGCCTCCTTGTCCGTAATGTGGCCTTGATCTACTCCCGCATTCAAATTCATGTTTTGCAGAGCCTCGAACTAAAATCCCGTGTGACTTAATTATCGTGATCTCATGTAATTCGTTATATACCCTTTACCACGGCGAAAGCAACATCAATCCTATGAATTGTAAGTCACGATCTCGTTCTAGTTAAGCGCGACTCGCCCTCCGATTGTTAGTGTGTCACTGATGGACCTTGACGCAGTTCGATGAGCTTAGTAATTGTTAATAGCGTATCGTGTAAGAGTTTTATATAGCGACACATTTGTTCAGATTAATGTTATGTTTGTCGATGCGTTATAATTCCGGAAATTTTATTAGACGTATAATATGAAGAGTGATGTCACTGTGCACACACATAACTATACTAATTCTAAAAGCTAAGCAACACATTCGCAGCTCGCGGTGGATTCGCATGTGGGATACATAATTCTTTAAATCTTATAAGTGAGACACTTACGCTTAGCTTCAGTTGATCCTTCAGCCACGTTAAGTAGAACTGGAGATCGGTCTTCTCCATCAAATCGTGGCTCCAACAAGCCAGCTTGGCAATGATCCTCGACGTCATATTCATTATGAAGCCGTCTTGTCTGTTCAAGAGATTCAGGAACGGTCCCCACACCGACTCCCGTTTACGATTCGAATGCTCTCTGAAGATCTCCACGCGGCTACGATCTTCCTGAGATACAAACTTTACTTTAATATTCCATACAGATAAATAAAATTCAAGTCACGAATTAATACGTACTTGAAGCATATCGTCGATCATCGTGAGGATGTATTGTATAGTTTGATCTTTTGAAACGTGGCCAAGTAGATTGAGGAAAGTCTTAGCAGCTTGATGAGGGTTTTCCTTCAGTTTCGCTTCCCTGACATGAGGATCACTTGTGTCGAAAGCAACTAGGAAATCGTAGTCTTCTTTAGATATCATTTGAGATCTATCAAATGGAAAATAATTGAAGATTTCACGACAGACTCTCACGTCAGAATCTAACGAAATGTGTTCTTACTGTTGATACGACTGCCAATTGGGTCTCTGATTTCTGATGTCAGCAGCTTGCTGTTGAAGTATGCTAGTTGCTGCTAGCATATCTAAAACATCGAAGATATCGTTCCTGATCACTGCTAATAATCATACTACACAGATATTCATAGCTGTGTATTTATAACGAAAGAGAAATGGTATCAAATCTAACCTACGAACCGATCGCAATGTTTAATAAGAATTTATAAAGCGATGTTTAGTACTGAATTTAAATATAGTTCGGAGTATTACAAGAAATATATAAAGAATCGACATGTTACAAGAGAAGAGAAATATCAATTGTTCTGTTGAAAATATATTGCTACATCGATTGACTGCTTATTTCATTTTGTTTTAAATCAGACGAACGTAATAAACGTGAACGTAAAAGCAGTAACAAGTCTTCGTAAACGATATAAACATATCGTATTATTGGGAGGGGCAATGACAGTATCAAGAAATAAGCATATTTCCAAATAATTACCTATCTTCTCCTCCGGCAGAGCCGGTATCATCTCTTTAATGCTCACACGTTCAACCATTTTCGTCGTCGTCTCTTGAAACTGATATATTTTTAGGTAACACTTCTCTTCGAGAATAGATGAAAGATCTGCGACAAGCAGATTCGCACCTCTTTCAGCTGATAGATCACAAGACCGAACCGAGTAACCAACCGTTATTGAAACTGCGACATTCCCTAGAGCTCCGCGTATACTACGCAGGACGTACGTGACGTGATCACGTGACACACCATATGACGTGCCCACGTGACGTCGCCATACGTCACGTCGACATTTCAAATTTGAAATTTCCGCAGCGTCCGCGGTTCATCTTCTAATTTTTAATAGAATTTGAAGAGAGAAATGTAATAATTCTTCAGAAAGAGTTTAAAGATCGGGTTTTCATTCCAGTTCTGACGAGGATGTAAAAGAACGGCGGTGAAAGATCTTCGCACCTCCGTTAATTAAAAGAGATGCAGGATGTCGCAGAATAATTTTCCTTCGAAGATGTAAGAGAGGGTAAATTTCTGAGTTGATTTCTTCTATTTTTTCTTCCGGTTAATACAGTAGAAAAGGATTTTTAATCTTCTGCGCTTGGATCGCAGTCTCAACTTCTTAAAGATTGGCATTTCCTACGCCGCAGATGGGTACTCCGACATCATTGAATTTAAGAATCCTAATTATTTTCAGAATCGGTAATTTAGAATAGAAGCAGAGCGCGAGTCTTTGAGAACAAGCCATCTTCTCTTTAATAAAGTTCTTGTCGAAAATATAACAATTTTCTTGCGTATCTAATTCTTCGGCACTAGCTATGCTATGTAGCTGCGTTCAATTAATATGAAAAAGAACAAAATAATGTGCATCTTGTCGTGCTTGAAAGTAATTGCTTATTGAATCACCATTTGCCTTTTTCCACTTTTCTATTCTGCATACGCTTGAATATTTAACGCGACTGAATAGTCGAGGCAGCAAGGGATTTCTTCCCTTAAATGTATCAAGTTCGTAATTATAATTGACGCACGCTTAGAAGACTGGACTTTCGTTAAATGCCGAATAGAAGAAAGTTAGGTGAAGAAAACACGGATTCTGTGTACTCTTTTACTGAACATACATTAGAACGACGTGGTAAAGGAATGCCAGGGGTACTACATAAATACACATATCAAAATGTTTGGAAAAAGAATAAGAATTCTAAGTTCCTGAAGCTAGTCGTCCAATTTTCAAACGTTACTCCGTTCGAAAATCATTGATATTTTTATTTGGACCAATGAGTCTCCTCCGATGACTGTGCGTTTATCGCAAGCAAATGATATCCAGTAATAATCGTAAACAGAACTGATGCTCGACAGGGGAACGTTAAACGAAGTTTCGTTAGAAAAGAACAGAGAAAAGCAGAAGTGACATGCAATGAACACTGGACACGTCCAGAAAGACTCTCGTTTCGATGACTTGTTAAATCTTTTTTATACTCTTCACGCGCCTGTCGAAGCCTACATGTGTTTTTTTTTTGTTTCTTTTTCTCTTTATTTGATACATTTAGCCTCTGCCAATGTGAGCGAACGCACCGCGTTACTAGCGCTTTAATCATTTACAAATTAAACGCAGAAGACGGTTCTTAATTATTTCTCACATTTCGCGTCGTTGCTTTTTTTCTTCTCACGTAACATATATAATATATCGAAGGAAATTTTCTTTCTTTTCGTGTTATGTGTGTGTGAGTGTATGCATCTCTCTCTCTCTCTCTCTCTCTCGTGTGTGTATCCACAACTGAAGAAGAAGAAAAGAAAAGAAAGGAAAACCACAAAGAAATAGAGCGACTTATTATATCACAGTATCGTACGCAAAGCTTGTATGAAATCGCAGATAGAACAGCATAAAGGCCAAATGGCGACACTATACGCGCTTCGTTTCATATTTCCTTTTTCCCTCTCGGCGTTGATAATGAATCATTTTTCAGGAGGACAATATTGGTTTTCTTTTTTCCTTTATCACTCTTTCTCTAGGTAGACAAGAAGCATCGTTGATACGCATCCTCGCATTCTTCCTCGATATCATTTTCTCTCGCACGCATACATTTATAATTACACTCCCTCAGTCTCTCTCTCTTTTCTCACTTTCACCGCATATTTTCTTCTTCCACACACCATGGCAATTACACGTTTTTTTTTTTTTTTTTACATCCATGGTCCGTGAGAGCTTCGCGTGAGTCTGAGGTGTCTCAGTATTAATAGTAACAAAATAGTAAGCAACGGCCGTTGTGTTTACGCATCCTGAGAATAAATCGGGGTTTCTTCTGACTTCGTCGCGCGTTTCTCGCGGCTCTAGTCGGCGTAGAGACTCGCACACGGTCTGATCGCTCGCAATTACATACTCTCTCGTTCCTCTCCTCGTTTCCTCTCTCTCTCTCAGGTTTCACTTTCGTCGACGCTACTCAACGATTTATCGTCTGAATACGTATCACCGGCGAGGACAGTATCCAAGTAATATTCGAAGGCGCTTCTTTCTTTAATTCGTTAACTTTTCGATAAACGTTTTGGCCTTTTAGCTGATAGAGAAGAAAAAAAAAAAGAACTCTGTTATATCACAATGCTTACGCTCTACTACGGTTATACTCGCTAACGAAACGGCAGATGATACAATACAATGTTAATTAAAAAAGGAAAACTATACATACGTTATATAAATAAACTTATCGTTTCCATGACGTGACGCTATTCGAAAATTCTTTCAGTTTACTTAAAGAATACTTTCTCGTAAATAATTCGTTCTTAGCCGATCTCGCTGCTCGAGAAGGGAGAGACGTTTCAAATAAAAATCATGAAAAGGAACTCGAATATTACTTTATACTGCGTTCTTCGTACCCGCGCGAACGGGTGAAACTTTGGCAACATATTAAACGTTGGCAATAACATCTTTTCTTCAGTGTTCATTAATTTTTTTTTTCTCTTTCGTTTCGTTTTGCTTCAGCTGGGCAGCACAGCCTTTTACCATACACGTAAAATATTCCCTTTTTTCTTTTTTGTGTTTTTTTTTTCACGTTTTTTTTCCTTTTATTCTTTATACGCATAAGCACTCGCAACAGCTTCTGCTTCCTCTTACTTTAATCGTTATCGATAATTAGCAAGTACAATTAATAGTTAATCGAAGTTCCATCGTAATCGTTAATAATAATTAATAATAGTTATTAATATACGTATATACAACACGGAAAAACTGTTTTACACAGAGTAACAAATTGTACAATGACACAAGGCTAACACTGAGATCGTCGGATACCATTTCTCTCTTTCTCTTTCGCTCTCGCTATCTTTCTTTCTCTCTCTCTCTCTCTCCCACAATTATTCTTAAACCCTCGTTTGTCATTTTTATTTGAACACCATCAACATGCCCGCGCCCGATAAATTAGCGCCTCGTCTCGCGCAATGATCAACGAACACTTCTGAACGCTTCTGAAAACTGTTTAGAGAACTACTCGGAAATAATATCGGATTGCTTCAACGTTTGTTTCCAGAATTGTTCAAATTATTCGTCGCGATTATTATACCATCAGGTTAGACGGATTCGCGTACCTCGCGGATACGCGCGATTATTCTTTTCGATGTGTGCAAAAATGTTGCTGGCAAAATACGTACGTTTGGGCAGACGGTACCGGCGAAACTCGCGAAGAAGCAATCGAACTTGGAACGTAACAATCGTTCGCACACGAGGAATAATAATAGATAATAATGATAATAATCGGTAATACATGCGGTCGACGAGCGTAACAATTTAAGACGCGCGATAACATCAACTATCTTCTCTTCCCTCTCGGCCCTTCCTTCGTTTTCATTAAATTAATTTACATCTTTACAACGTTTCAACAGGTCAACCAAATCGATATAATAATAATTAATAATAATAATAATAATGATAATATAGGCTGACGATGAGAACAAGGTGTGGACGAGCGACGCGCTTGTTCTCCCCCGGAGCTATCCCATTTTCAGTGTACGTTCGATTAGGATTTTGTGCCCTTTTACGAGAGAAACGTATTATGTTTTCTAGAATAATTACAACAATAAATGCAATTAGCCTGTTAATCAACGAAATAGACGTGCTCTCTGTACTTCACTTGTGTTTAACAAACGCTCGATCGAACGGAAATAAAAGAAAAGAAACTGATGAAAATTACTGTTTGACTTTTGGTTCTCGCGTATAACAATTGAACGAAAGATATATATAAAATACATGGTCGGTTTGCACGCTGATATCTGTACAGCCAGTCAGAAATGTGAAAAAAACAAGAGCTTCGAATACTCGACGAGAGAATTAACCAACTGTTTCATTTATCAGGCAAAACGAGACTAACAAATTGACACGTGTGAAATATTCAAGATCCTCGTTCGCGTCGAACCAGCGTCGATCTTTACGATCAACCGCACACATCCGTTCACCCTCCTTTTTTAGTCGTTTGTTTATCAAGAGAATTATTTAATTGAACCACGTACTCCGAACGCAACGTACGGTGTGTCACAGCATAGCTGCCGCTCGCTACTATACAATTTTATGGTCCTATTTCCTTCTTCAAGTACTTCTATGCTAATCTCTGAGAGAGAACCTCGGCAGTCGTTGCCACGTGAACCGGTCACGAGGCAGAGGCTGGCTGAGGACTCTGCTAACTTTAAGGCGAAGGAGCACCTGACATGTTTTTTGAATAGTTTCTCGCATGCATAAGATCGGAATACCTTGAAGGAACATCATTCCGTTGATAAAAAAAATTATCGCGGTGTAAAGATACGATCGAGTCTCGTGATTAAAACAAATGAATTAGTCATACGATGTCTCTTATCTCTGGATCTTCAGAAACGATCACCCGGCTAGCGTGTAACAGTGAATTTACTTGCACTGACTGAGAGGAAAAGAAAATGCGACGTCTAAGGTATTTTAAAAACATGTATAAAATAATATAAAATTAAATGTAAAAGGCTTTAATACTTCTCGCTGTCAGTGTATCGGTGGTGATAAAAAGGAAAGAGCTTCGATATATACGTGACAATAAGAAATGAAACCGACGATCGTGTGTACAGCGTCAGGTTGCTTGAAAAATTATCTCATACGACGCGGAATGATACTCGCTTCAAGGTATGCGTCGGCATGCACCAATGATTCTTTTATAAGTGTTATATATCTTAATTTATTACTGATCTAAAAGCTGTACTCCCAGCTGTACCGTTATATCGCTGAACGAAAATGAATTAAAAAAAAAAGAAGAGAAGAAAAGAAACATTTAACAGACTTTGTATCTTCTGTTTTCATACCTAATTTCGAAGACGAAAAAAAAAAGAGAAGCAACAACAAAAACCGCCAATCTCGATTTGTTAATAACGATCAACTTCTCATTAATAATGATAATATTAATAGTGTAATAATAGTAATAATAATAATAATAATAATATTAGATAATCATGATCTAAGTAGACAAATACACTTTCATTCTCTCGTGCGAAACTTATCAGCGACGATCGGTTACTCTTATCGTTAGCTTCGGAAGCGATAAGTTCCCGCAGACTTTACACACTCGTTTATATGTATGTATATATCATTTTTTTTTATCGGCTTAACGCGTGTGATATTGCGAATCGAAAAGCACAGTGTAATTCCATCTCTGTCTCGATATTTCGTTCAGCTATCGAAAAATAAAATATGTAGGAGGTAGGCTTCCTATATAACAAATCTTCGGGAAAGGAATCATGTTTAATTCACTTGTTCGTTTCTTTACTTTTTGATTCACTACTCGTATAAGTTTCTTTTCCTCACTGTAGAGATCGATCACGACGACCGCAAAACGGATCTCTGTTATTTTGTTTGCTCGCCGAATCTCGAGGGTAACACAACAATTCCATGAATGAATTCCGTGAAAATTGAAAAACAGAAACACGTTCGGGAAACTAAACTGGACATCGGCTAGCAGAGTGTGTCTACGTAAGCTACGCGCATTCACACCATCGTACCTCTCATGATCACAAGCAAGTATTTTCGGTTCTCTTCGTTACAATTATCATTACCAATAATTGATAATTAATTCTTCGTTAGATAAGCGAGTCTGTGTAAAAATTTAGCGTTTTTCTTCCGACGCGTTCGCACTTTACTCACTGTCTGCTATCCAGTTTGTAAGACATTGAGCGAAACATTTGCAAAAAATCAGTTCTCGTGATTCTTTCTCCTCTTACCCCCATCGAATTTTCTTAAACTACTAAACCGTCGCTTGGAAGAAGTGACTACTTCGTATAGTTACCTGTCGATCACACTATCTTTTTTTTTCATCTTTAAATATTTTACACGTGTTTCAGTGACACAATTACATTCACCATATTTTTCTTTTTTCTCGTGTTAACACTTCACACATCCGTATAGCTCTCCTTACTTTTCATTTTACGTTCGTCTTAAATAAAGTACATGTAATCTAGCAATCACTATTATTTTTATTTTGTTTATCATTTACCTTCCTAAAGTTCTCTCCTCGAAGAATCATCACTGACCGCTGGCAACGATCCCTGTGTTTCCTCGAAGCGTTGCTCTCGTCCGTTAAGATCATCCCTCGGCTCGCGACTATTTAAGATACCTCTCCTCCTCAGCAGCTCAGCGGTATTCCCGGCGGACGATCTCAATTTTGGCATTAGTTAACATAACGGGCTTCTCTCAACTATTTGTAAACTTTATTACAATGGTCTAAGACGTATTTGTTACTTTTTAAAGGCATCATCAGCGTAACCCACTGTTGTCACGGCACACGCAGCTCTTCGACGATCTGCTCTGTAGTGATCTTCGTTTCAGTTAATTTCGAAACCTTTTCGAACGTTTCTTTTTTAATCCCGACTCGTAACACTCGTACGCGATTCATCCGAATTACGTATCTTTTATCCCCATCCCTCTTGCTTCCTTTTCATTATTCGTTTTCGAAACTTATACGAGGCATTTTTTAGGACTATGTGAATTCTTTCTTTTATATATATATATATTTTTTTTTACAAGGAAATTTCGTGTTCGTTCCCCGGAATATGTTAACGCGTTTCTAATTTAATGATTTTCAGTCGAATATTGTACCGGATGACAATACTGAAACTTCAATCTTGTGTTACGACGACCTCTTCAAAGGTATCTCGTAACGTATGTATGTACACGGTTTCAGAACGTACACTATCCGTAAAGTCTTTGTCTTTTCCTGGTGATTGACTATTTTATGTACATTAGCTTTAGAGGCACGGTTTGCGCCAATTGGCTTCACAGAATTATCACCGACGATTTGACTCGAGAATCAGTGTAGTCTCATTTCGTATTATTTATTCGTGACCGAGACCGATAGTTAACGTAGGTTTCTTTTTCTTTTTTTTACACGGGTCCGATCGTTCTGTTCGTACATCTTTACATACACGTTCGGTCTTGCGTCAGTGAGCAGACTCCTTTGGCTGTTTATAATTTTGCAACGTACAACTTGACACGGAGGTAATTTCGTAGTACAAAAACGTTATTGTATTATTTACCTCGTGATACTTTAGTGTCCATTTCACTGACCACTGTAGAACTGTATACGGCCGCCCGCAGTCACCGGCATTTCCCTCATAACAGCGTCCCACGCTGCATCGACAAACACAGAAATAATACAAACGTTTTAATAGTCGAAAAAGGTAGGTCGTACACACCGGTCTCAGTTCTACTTACCTAAACCAACGAACGAGACGATCTTATCGTGATTGTACGTCTGTATGTTAACGTCCTCTTCCGGTGCCACATATAGCATGGAGAAGTCCTCTTTTGGCTGATGATGATGCGCGGGCGGTGGCGGTAGACACGTGGGCGGAGGGAATCTCGGCGGATAGCCTATGCACGGTAATCGTTGCACTATCACCGGATGCATAGGCTGCTGCGTCACATGCGTATTCGGCGATTGCATGAAATTAGGCGTAAACTTATCACATCTCATATGTTTATCGAACATCGGGGGGTATCTATCGAAATTCGGCGGTTTGCTCAGAAGAGGCGGGACCACGGAAGGAAACACAACTGAACTGGCACTTGAATTATCTTCCACCGGCGAGTCCTCCGACAACAGAAGCTGTTCGTTCACCTCGAAACCGAACCTGAGTTCCGTCGGCAGTTCACTGTTTTTGGTAACGTCCGACGACGTCTCGTCCATCAATATGACCGCGGGCCTCGAACTCTTTTGTTGTTTAACGGGCGCTTGCGACTCCGACTTCTGGCACTGCTGGTCCTTCTCCGTAGTCTGCTGTTTCACTCTCTTCGTTTCGGCGTCGTCCTCTTTCGAATTCACTGGACACGCGTTTCCCGATCTGATCGTCTCGTGCTTCACATTGATGGTTTGCTCTTTCATGGTCTTCGTTGGTCTGTCGCTCCTCGACGACTTGCTAGCGTCCGAATCAGTGCTCTGAGTTTCTTGCGATGGCTTCGGATGGCTCGGGGCCTTTTGAGACTCGACTTCGTCGACCGAACCAGGCTCTTGGGTACTCTGGTTCTCGCAATGCGCGTTCGAGTTCTCGTTCTGCGGCTTCTTCGGGTTGTTGTCGTCGTGATGAAGGTAACCGGTTTTCTTCGAGTGCTCTTCGTGCGACGATTGATTGCTCTGGACGTACCCACCCCGGCGCGTTCGAGAATTGTTACATCTCGCGTTGACGACCGTCTCTTTGTTTCCGACGCTGTTACAATTCGGGTTGTTGTCGGACTCGGAGTTACAATTTACGATCGCGTTGCCGAGCCTCGATGGCACTGGATTCGTTAACGAAACGTCGTTAGACGTCGCGCTGTTACTATTGGGGTTCACGGTCCTCTGTTCCTGCTGCGTCAGATTTTGCCGCATTTTCTCAACGTCTTGCACGTATTTGATGACTTGGATGTTCTTGTTGATAGCTTCTTCTTGAGCCTCCGCCTTCTTCCTCTCCGTCGAGTTCTTCATCTTCGTCAGAGTCGGCGAAGGTGGCTTCTCGAAGGTAAGATTCAGAATATGATTCGAATGGGTGAAGTTGTGTTGCCTCGCTTTCTTGTCGGAGTGTTGCAGCTCGTCTAAACTGGGATAGTAATCTTGAGGGATCTTATCCGGTTCCGACGGCGTTTTAGGCGGCACGCTCGGCCACGAGGACGTGTTTAACATGTTCGGAACTATCGCCGACATGTTCAACACCGAATTGTGACTCATGTTGATGGTCGCCATGCGAGCTATGTCCGCGTAACTCGCCTGCGGGGTTCCGCCCGATGAGGTAGCTATTTTCGATAAATTGTGTTTGGACGTGTTCGACGTGACCGGCAACGAATGGACGGAGTCCGAATCGCTGCTGTCCGATTTATCGCTGTGAACAATAATCAGTTTAAACGTAATTTACGCTTCTCAACGGTCGGTCAGATCGAAAGAAGAACGTGAACGTCGATTTTACCTTGGCGGCATACTGCTTGCCGATTTTCTTCGTAGCTCGGGAGAAAGCGGCGTTCTATACTCGTTCGAGAAACCCCTGGAATTCTGTAGGTAAGAACCGGACGTCGCTAAATTCTGAGCCCTACTACCGCTCGAACTCCTTCTTTGCTTTTTACTTTTCTTCTTTTTGGTAACTACCAAGAATTCTGTTTCGTGTTCCGGCTCTGGATTGATTTTTTTATTGGAGTTTCGGCGACTAGCATAATCATCTCCGGTATCATTGCAATATATGGACTGACCTTCTTCCGTTCCCCAGGACCGCCTGTCGCCGCGGCTATCGATAGCTGCGTCTCCCGTGCTCCTTTGTTTCGCACGGCGCAAAGCGACATTGATCGTACCTAATCAATTGAATTGACAAAGGACATGAACATATTAATTTCCGGATCGTTTTTAACAATAGTCAAAGCAATAATAATAAGGGGATGGGCTCACCGTGTTGGCTAGAAATACTACTGGCACCGCTGGAGCTGACGCTTTTTTCCGTCGTGAGATCTTCGAGCTTAGTCTTAGATATCTCTTCGAGAGAATTGGATTTCTGTAACTTGGCAGGTAACTGTTCCCTTTTCGTGTCCTTCTCTTTACTTCTTGGTTTCGCTCCAGAACTAGTTTTTACCCTCACTAGATTACCTGGTTTCCCCTTCTTGTTTTTCGATTCCTTATTCTCGATAAAATTAATCAAACTGTCGATATCCTCGATGTTCCGATGCCCCTCGACGTTCTCAGCGTTGTAAACGATGACGTTCGGCTCCTGGGCATGCTTCCTCCTAGGCTTCTTACGCTCCCCGTTGTAATTCTGCACCGGGTTCCCATTCTCGTCCAAAGACTTCTTCTCCCCAGATCCTGTAGTATGCGCCGTGTACCTAGAGGCTTCTGTGCAAAATTCACAGATGTTGATTCGTTACGAAACGCGAGACACCAATTTACCTCGTAATTATACACGACGAACATTTTGTCGTATCACCTACCCATTGTGATATTCTGTGTTTGTAAAGATGCAGACATCATGGAGCATAAGCTTGGAACTACTTTACCCTGACTAGCACTGGAACTGTTCGCAGTTCCGCCGATACCGCATTTCACGCTGTTGAACGTTTGGAAGGAGAGGGCGCCGGTCACCTCTGTACCGTTAACAGATATTTTTGATTTATCTTGCTTCCCACTGTGCTCGCGGAGAGAGAAGTCTATGGTAGTGTCCACGGGAGTTTGAGCTATGTCGAAAGTGGTGCGGGATATATATTGAGGTCTACGCGGTTCGATAATTTTCATTTCAATTCCTTCATCGTCCTCTGTGTCCAACGAGTGAGGTCTCTGAACCCCACTTACAGTGGATCCCACATTCCTCTCGCTGATAGTACCCACCTAGACGGATTGAGCGACAACGAACGAATTACAAATGAGCAAGATACGCGTAATTCAGTAACCGGATCACACGATCGGAACACAGATTTACCTCGGCATCACCCAAGTCGATCACCATATAATCTGACTTATACTCCGGCGGTGGATTATCTGACTCGAGCATTTCATTTGTCCCGTGTTTACCCTTGCTGCCTCGTTTCTCACGTGTCTCGGTCTCGGTCTCGCACGGATCCTTCTTCGTATCCTTCTTATCCTTCTCCTTCTCGTCCTTCTTCGTACCACCGTACGCTGGTTTGTCCAACGATCTAGATTTCTCTTTATTGGTCCAATCGTACGCTGTCCTCTCCTCGCAAAAGCCCTTCTTGAAAAACGAACAGACATACAACGAGTTTAGCGACGAACGTCTAACGGCGCGGAGAACGCTTATTGGGGTACGTACCTTCTTATCAAATATTAAATCTAGGTTCACCAGCGAGGCAAGGCTGTGGGACGCGTTGACGTTCGAGGGTAACGAGCCACCTTCCCTTTGCCTGGCAGACACGCTGGGTCCCGTGTACTTCTTATTCTTTCTCCTGTTCCCTCCGTACGTGTGGCTAGATCCGGACGCCAAGTACGCGAAGCTACTGTCGAATTCTGAGGTAACAGGCTGTGCCAGATTTTGCAGCGATCCACCGTGTGTTAATCTCTCGGATACAGAATCCCTTTTATGCCTCCTACGATTCGACCCAGGCAAACAACGTGAATTAGTTACTATCCTACGGCCTTCCTCCGTTTCATCGGCTTCAGCTTCCTGCAGCAGTTCCTGAAACGTGTGTCAATAAATTCGATTGCCGCAGTACGAAAGGGCAGGGGAATCACGACGCTTACTTTAAACAAACTCGATTTTCCTTCACGATCTTTGGGACACTTATAAGTTATAGCTTCGTCTAGTAGTGCACGTAGTTCACCCTCGTTTAACGTAGACAGAGTAGCTGGTTCTTCCTAAACGTTATGACAAAACGGACGGACTTTAGAACTCTGTTGTTAATTACAATTGTGCAACGGTTTCATTGATACAAAAAGAAATTGTTGTTCGAACGAAATTAATAAACGGCGGATTAAACGCAGCAATGGAACAGACTTTACGATTAAAGAGACGTTCGATCTCGGATTAAGAACCTATTTCTTTTCAACGAGAACTATTACATAAGCTGAAATGAATTAGCAGCATCGAGTACAGTTTCTTGTACAATAAAAAGAACGATGATACTAATTTCGAAGGTGTGCAAACGTAAATCCGCGAATACAGTGTGGATATATTCTGTTAAACGTGAACTGTATGTCCACGAATACTATGTGTGTAACCTGTACACGGTTCAGGAACATGTTTGGCAATGTAGATTCAAATATGGAAAGTATGCCAAGAGTTCAATCCAAACTTTAGGAGTAAACCATAAGTGGAGGTGCATTGAAAGATGTACTGAGAGACTAAAGGACATTCAGGACAGCCATCATTTGGTCAAAATACTTTGTCGCATTATCAGTTCCGTGTGATCCACCTTCCTTTTAAAAAAAATTCAACGATAACGTACAGTTGCAAAATGACACGGATGGAATCCCTTGGAGAAATTTTAACTGAACAATGTGGCGTTTTAATGGTGTAACAGATCATCGAAGGAGAACAGATTTTCTACTGGTAAATGAACACCATGATACAAAGTAGACCACAGGCCAGATAAGCATGTGGATATAGATAGATACAAAGTGAATTTAAGGTTTCACTTATTGGATTTTATGAAGAAATATAGAGATCACATAAAAAAAGGCGTATTAGCATAAATGATGTGGACTGTATTACAGACACGCACACATGTATATTATTTTTATCAAGTTAATTATACACACTCTGGTTCTGGCCGACTTTAAAACACCCAAATCGCTGATTTATCATTGTTCATCGGAATTTGAAATGGGATCGGTTTTATATCCTTGTTATCTCTCCAATGCTAACCAATTCGTGCGAACAGCATGTAACATTGTTACACAGAAACGTAGTATACAACTGTTTATATAACAGGAGAGAAAAAAGTGCAAGCCTCAACGGGCTTTTATTTGATTTACTTACAAAATACTGCATGAATATGTATATTATCACGAAACCAACATTTCCCTTCCGCGAGGTATGGACAAAGTAGAAAATATTGCGAGAAACCATGCATGATGTGTCATTTATTTTCGTATGCCGATTCGACTAACATTGCCTTGCGGCAACCTAACCAGCTTCAATTCAAAGCAAAATATCTTATCAGAATGGCTGCCCATGTAAAAAAAAAGAGAAATAATTGACTACTGCAGATTTCTTTTTCCTTCGTTTGAGACGGTATATCTATATACCGTCAGGAGTCAGAGCTGTTGAGAAATAAACTTTTATCGTAAGCCACATATTGAAAAAAAAAAAGGAAGACTTAACGCGATTAAGCCTGCTCCGAGCGCACGTCATTATTGCGAGTACAATAAAATTACTTTTAACTTACTGGCCACCGAATCGACGTGAAATACAATAAAATACTCGACACGTTCTGCACAAGCTCTTATCAAACCGACGACGGGAAAAAAAGACGAGAGTTCCATCGTACGTTTCGCAGTATTGAGTAACATGCCTTACAAGAAGAAACAAAACGAATCTACGTGGTTTCGCGTGCGAACAGTGGAAACCAATCGTCTTTGAAGATTCGGTAGCCACTGTTAATGAATACTCGCGAGTCCTTGGGAATGCGAAGAGGACAGCCGATACCTATCGGGTTTACCTTCGCAGCCAAATTAAAATGGGACACACACTCGGAACGAGTTTGGGCTTTTCCAGAGATCGATAGGGGTTCGCGATTAGCTAATTGAGAGACACGAGATACCGGGGTGACTTACAGGCGAAGGAAAAATCTGCTGGGCAGTGCCGGCACGGAATTTATATTTTTAGAGGGCACCTGGGTCGGCTGCAGTCGTCTCTCCTCCGTTCAACCGCGATGCCCGCGATATACCAACGTTACGCAGAAATTCTCCCCGTTTCGGCACACGGTCAACGTTCCTAATGACACTCTATCACTGTTCGCGAAGACCAATATCGGCAGTATCGGAAATATATTGCCGATTTAAATGCTATTGTGACGAGCGGGCGCGGCGCGCTCTTCTCACCATGGCCGCCGCCATTACACTGAGAACACGGCCATTCCAAGACCGTAACAACCGACGGGCCCCCTGACATCACGTCCCTATTCATTACACTGTCATTTTTACATCGTATCATCGTGCAACCAGTTAAACAGTTGCATAAATTTACACGCAAAACGACGATACAAACGATTCTTGTCTACGACGAACGAAACTTCATTTCATACAACGTCGAGCCAGAATCTTATTCGTTATTTTTTAAACTTTGACAAATCATTAAATTGCATCATGAAACGATCTCATTGGTCAGTGTCTGCTTCTCTGTGATCTTAATTATATGTAAATGTAATCGTGGTATGATTAATAACACAAGCTCCAATTAGGAACTCGAACTCGTATCTTAGAACTACAACATACTGTGAAACTTGTAACGATTCGATGCGTAACGGTACGTTGCATGTCTCAAATGTTGTATTACAACATCTTTCATAGAAGAAGAGATCTCTCACAGAGCAATTAAAAAATTGGAACCAATTGACTGGTCAAGGTGTTCAATCCTTGAATCCCGTTTGATCATGAACGAGCATTGGAATTTAGCTAAGTCCTTGTGTAAATTTCATACCTGCTTACTGTCAGAAGTGATGCAAGTAGGTACACCTTGATTTATCGGATCTGAAGGGACGTCAGTGTTCGTCGTTGGGGTACACTCTACATTCTGGCTACCGAGAGTTTCAACACCTACCACTGCAGCTTCGATATCTCTCTCGTTAGAGATCTCACTGTTATTGTTTTCAGCAGTTTTGTCAGGTGCTACTGGCTCTTGACGATGTTCCGGCCCTGGGCCCATTTTGATCGAAGTTGACACTGCCGTGTCCGCCGTGCTCATAGTTTCATCATGTTTCTTTGGCGTTCCTCGAGACCTAGGCGCCTGGTTCCTCGTTCAGATCAGGAACAAAGATCCAAGATCCTCTCATCTCGTCGATTCAACTTTGTTCACTCAACGAAATCATCACAACAGTTGCGTCCGTGTAAACGAAACCATTTTTCATCATCCCGATTGAAACCCATTCAAACGATCCTGCCGTTTACTATACTCGATTTTACGCGCGTGCCAGGCGCGTTGCGAAGCTGAGAAAAATGGCACCGTCCACTACCGTCCAACGGTCTCGCTACTGTCGATCAAAACGAAGACCGTTCATTGCAACTCGATCCGTTCCTCTACTTCAATCAGCTCGTACATTCCGTTTCACGTGTACGTCGAGGCTCCGATCCATTCTTCGCTCCCGCAACAGCCGGCGACGTCTTGTCGTGAGGTTACCGCTGGTCTACTTGTCAGATTCGGTGGCAAGTCATAATTGTCCGTTGGTAGACAGAAGGTACGTCAAGCGTTTCGCGCGCTGCTCGTGCATCGACGAAAGACGAATATCTATTCAATACTCGTACGGTACGTTCATTGGAAGAAAGATCTAAGAGTATGTCTCGTTTTCTCATTGATATGTTCCTACGAATATCCGTTGCTCTCGCGCAAACAACAAACTACGAACGATATACATGTTCCAATTCGGGAACAAACCTCTGATTTATCGTTCAACTTATATTCGATTCATGCGAGAACTACGTAACAGCAGATACGTATTAAAATGTATAATACAAAACGAATGGAATGATTTTCGTAGCACCTGTTAGAACTTCATTTCGTAAACAGAGGATAGTGACTGTGTTCCAGTGACATGTCGAGTCGTACAGTTTTCCACGCGTTCGCGTCAGCTCGGATCAAAGAGGCGCGAGGAAAAGTCCAATTTTGGTGTTACAAAACGAGGTTGAGAGCCGCCGTAGTTTCGGACACTCATAAATCCAAAATGGCCGTTGTCGATATTAAAATGCACATTTCTCTCGTGTACGCTGCTCGTACATTTTTCTTTCCACTAAATGCGATCTACTTATAGCGTTGTTCCAACCGGGTACACGGACAGAAGACGCGAGAACGAAACGTATTTCCCCAAAACGACGACGGCGACGTTTCTCGCATTGCCTGTACACACAGAGGACGTATGCGTGTGTTAAATGTACGTAGTTCGACTCTCGCCGACGTTCCGCCGTGCACAGGCCTTGAAAATGTACGATGTATCACTTCTGATACGTTTCACTGACAGTTAGAAGCATCGTACGGCAATCAGGAGCGGCTGATCGGATCATCGGAGCGTATTCCAAAATTGTCGGCGAATTATCGATCGCTTGATATTACTTCTGTCCGTGCACTCTCCGACGATGGCACGACAGCTCGTGACGGGAACGTTTCGTCGAGACGTTCGTAACCGATGGTAAACAGAGAACGGCACTGACGATACTTATTTTAAATACAACATTAACTGTGTTCGATAAAATGGAAAGTAGTCCACCCGAAACTTCATCGCTTTCGATCGTCCGAAATTCAATCGCACGGTCAATCAGTCCTTAGCACTGTAACGTTTTCACTCGATCCGATCTCATCGTTACGGGATTTCTCGCTCCCGTCGGTTGATCACGTTTCAGAGGAGGGTTTTAAAGGAAAACTGACGTAAATCTGCACGGGCAGTTTTCTCGCGACACAATAAACGATCGCTTTTGCGCAGAGAAACGGCGGACCAGCCGTTTAGCCTCCGAAAATGTCGTCTGGCTTCAGGAGCGTACGTCAAGATATTTTCTGCTACGCGAACACGATTTTTTTCTCCAGATATTTCAAACGTAGTCGACGTTACGATGGTAAAAATAGGATTCACGAAATAAATGTCATGTTTCAAAAGCTGACGCATTACCCCGAGATTTTAATTCTATTCGTTTCCAACGAAATGGATTTCGATGAGAATCTTCGTTTCTGAATTCCATTATGGTCGAGCAGAAATTCTGTTTTATAAGAATCGTGGCCACGTTCTATTTCCGCGTAATATAAATAAATGCGTTTGCAAACGAGAGCTCCGGCGAAATTTTAATAGACACAACACTGGCCCCGTACGCGTCACTGGGGTCGATACATCTCGAAGTCGAATCACGATGCGATATGGTCGTCGATTCTACCAATTCATTGACGTTATGCGCAGCCTATATATTCCTTTTCTTTATAGTAATTCAGATTAAATTGAAGACAGCAAAGTGTACGGGCGATCGGATAGTCGCGAGCTAACGTGAATTAAGAAACAGGAACGGTATCGTTTGCCACGGTGAGCCACGCACGAGGGATCACCAGTTTTTACGCTCGTTCACGGATAAACAGGTTCCGTCACTGTTTCCAAAACAGTGGAAGATAAACGGACGCGGCAGAATGACGAAGTCTGAGAATATATTCTTGTTCGTACCCAACATCATTGGTAAATAACTATTCACAATCTATTACTTTCGTTTTTACCATCGTGATACGTTAACAATTCGATGCGAACTACTCTCATACATGTGAAATAACAAAGGTGTATCGAAACTTCAAGGCAGCTTATAAATACGTATTTCGTTTTTATCGATTTCCAAAACTAAAGCCGATCATCAGGAAACTCGTATCACAGTTCTTCTACATTCGTAAAGCCTTTGTACTTTCTGCTGTATGATCATATCCTAATCGATTGCACTTCTGTCCTGATCATTGATAGCATAGTCATAATTGTTTACTATTGAGTTAATAAAGAATATGATAAGAGAAGGATTGAATGTACAGCACTTTAGAGACTTCCTGTATTGATTTGTAAGGTAGCTCAAGTTTCTGAGTGTTTCTCAATACGTATCAAGCAGAAATATGAGAGAAGAATTATTTAATCGGCATAACTAAGCTACGATTACTTCGAGCTAAACGTTAACACTGTCAGCAGTAATAATATACGCATGTTGTCAACAGGCTACGGCAGAGTGATCCTGGCCATTATATCTTTCTACTTCATGACAACTAATCACGTTATCGCATTGTGGTGTTACATTATTAGTGCACTGTTAGATGCAGTGGATGGTCATGCAGCGAGATATTTTAATCAGGGCACCAAGTTTGGTGCCATGCTAGATCAGTTGACTGATCGTGTCGGTACCATGTGTCTCTTAGCCACACTGTGCATATTTTATCCATCGTACTCGTTTTGGTTTCAACTGAGCATGGCCATCGACATTAGCTGCCACTGGATATATTTGCATACGTAAGGATCAATCTTATTCAAACACACGTACGAATTATGACGTTATCGTTGCACGAAGATATGAGAGAAGAGAGCTGTAAATATGTTTACTAACTTTCTGGTAAGATGGTTCATGAGCCACTGTGCATTCCAGATCTATTCTACAAGGAAAAACGAGTCATAAGTTCGTCGATATGTCTGAGAATCCAATTATGAGAGTGTATTACACTAATCGTACAGTCTTGTTTTTGATGTGCGCTGGCAACGAAGCCTTTTACGCTGCACTGTACCTGCTCTACTTCACCGAAGGACCTACAAGTAAGCTACTCCCGTTTTAACTGATCATAATTCATCCTCGACGTTACGTCGGATCGTTTACACGTACGTTTCTGTTTCAGTTCTCGGTATAAGTTTATTCAGGCTGGTCATGTATCTATCCGCGCCAGTGGCGTTTGTCAAATCTGGCATCTCTTTGTTACACGGATACGTGGCCTGCCTGAATCTGAGCATAATCGATCTCAAAGAGAGACAAGAACGTCCGAAGATCAATTGAATCGTCCTATCCGATATCTCAAATTAAATGTGATAGATCGATCTTCCTTATTTTAATATCCGTCATATGCAAATATATATGTACACATTTTTACTAGCTGATCCATTTGAACGTGCCAGATACCTCGAACTAAATAGAGTCGACGAACTATTTTAATATAAAGTGGACATACTTGGTGCTAGTCAATGTTTCATTCCTATGTTGTCAACAAGCATGTTGTGAGCATTTTACTTTCTAATAAGATTCTACGCTAGTTAAGGAAAAGACTTCATCAGTTGTACTCGACCGTATTTTTCTATTTAGTCAACTCTTTTTATACATTTAAATAATGTACGCGTGATTTAAATTGTGATTTGTTTTTTTTAATCGTTTTTGTAGAATGTATACCGTAGGGGGGACACTGATGAAATATGTTGATTTTCGAATATTTTAATGTACGCTAGCAAAATCTACTCGATCCTCCATAATCTTATAGTGTTATACTTTTGCTGTACTTCATAGTTTATTGTATATCGATGTCTCTTTAATGTATAAAGCCTGTTTCAAAACGTTTAACAAGTATTTTTATCCCCCTCACACAGTTATCTTTATTGTATAATAATCCTTAATACAAGATATTGTAATCTATCCTTATCTATCACAGTTTAACATACATTAAGATTAATTAAGGTTACACGTGTATCATTACATATGTATAAACATGTTTTCTACTAAATATATACGTATGTACACGTATATCTAGTATCTATGTATATGTTTATATGTGCACGTTAATTCCTCTGTTACTATGAAGACTTCTCATTGCTATAAAGTCAAAAAGCATGTAATATACATTATGGAGATCAGAGGAAGGGTAATCTATCACATTGAAAAACTGATATAAAAGCAGTGAGAAGGGATTAAACGGAAAGTAACATAGAAATGTCTATCGCGATGCAATTAAACTGTGTAGACTGTGGTATCTACTTTGGAACTTATCGAAAACCAAACGACACGATAAACAATATGAATATTCTTTGTTCAGGGTGTTATTTATAACGCAGCTATTATTATTACCATCGGGACGTTCTGCTAAATCATTGCAAAAACAGGGGAAATAATCGAGTAACACGTGTATCTCACGGTGTCAACGAAAATCATTCGAAATTGTACAGATCACTTCGTCTCGTCCCGGTACTCGTTCGGTTAATACGATTAGTCGTACGATAAATCTACATCGCGCGAGAATACTTAAATGACAAAGTGTTGAACTAACCTCGAGGGTTTTGCTCTCACTCCCCCATCATGATCAGTCATGTTTCGGCGCCATGTTAACACTTCAAACATTCGCGCATGTTGGGAAGTTCAGTAAATTCCTCGGAGTTTCTTCTTCCCATTAAAATACCCTGAAATGAAACCGTCACAGTCTACGGTCGACGAGGTTTGCAAGAGACGTTTCACTTTGCCGGTGTTTACAGTTTCCGTTACGTTACGACTCGCGAAACAAAGTAGAACATTTATAAAAACAGATGAGAATTGTTCACCGGCTTACTACGGGATGATTCGCGATACGACAGCGCCGCGCCAAAATGGTGTCCGTTAAATGGCGGTTTGTCTGTCCGTCATTCGAAGCTGCGACCAACATAGTTCATTCCAAGTAACGTTTCATTTTTATCTACACGCGTGTGCCAGACTTTGGGATTTCACGATCTACAATATTATTACTCGACGGATCTTTAATTTTTCCGTTTCGACCTTCTCTCATGATTCAAATGCGAAACGACCAAGTACCACGTTCTCCACGGAATTAGTTATTTAAATCACACGTTCGTATAAATGGTAATTATTCAAAGTACTCGTCTTCGCTTTTATTGGTTTATGTAACGTTAAATAAACATTTATTATGTTATTGTTACATATTTCGAATGTATAAAAATATAATGGTCGAAATTTAATTATATATTAGTGCGTAGCAAAAATATTCTGTACAAAGTATGCGAGTACTTTATATACATGCACCGCATACTATTAGAATAACTCGGTATTAAAGTTTTCACACAATCGCAAACGAAACCTCATGGGTATGTACTATCAACATGGAAACACGAAGTAATGATTTTTTTTATAAGAAGAAACGAAAGATGTAAACACCAGATTGGGTCGCCATCGAGCAATGGATGACTTACTCCTACTGATTTATTACTCGCGCAATACAGCTATCAAATTCTCCGCGTAGTCTAGGTCTGCTCGCGAGGGATACAACAGTTTCATGTTACCCTCCATGTCCACCACTTTTACTTGTTCGACGACTAAATTGTGATAGTTCGATGAGTTTTCCTCTTGGGAGACAGACGCGAATCCAAGAACGACCAACTCCTTCAGAAACTGGTCCAACACGTTCCTGTTGAAACGATAAATTCACGTGTTAATGTAGTCAGAATCCTTTCTCTTCTGTAAAATGATACTCACCTGCAAATCTGATACGACGTAGCGCTCGTTACTTCTATCAACATCTCTTGAGAATCGGCAGACATCTTCGTAATGTCACTGTTCGTTATTGGTGGAAACGATATCACTTGTTCCGTAGCATCCAGTAAACAGGGAAACAAAGGTTTTCCTTCTAACAGATAGAGGTACTTGTGAATGCCCGAGTATACGTTACGTTTCTTCTCTTTTCTGAGATTCTCAGCTTCAGCTTGCAATCTTTGGAACAATGCGACACCGGTGTAAACCTTGTTATGCATCAATGGCTTGATCTCCAGTTCATTCGGTGGCATCGCCGTGTACGTTAAATCGCCTAAATAATTAATACAACGTTATTAACTCGCGTACATTCGATCTACGTATACGGTTTGATGTCTGTACGATTACCCGGTGCGATTAACTTTAAATCGTGCGTAGCGATCGTAGCTGCATTTCGTTTCTCGCATATCCCGTCGTGCAATCTCGTTTGAAACTGAATGAACTTTTTGAAACTATCTTCCGTGAACTTCATATTTCTTACAATGCAAGCTGCAATATAGGGCCTGATATTTTTTACATGTTTCGTGATTTTAATTACTGGTGTCTCGTTTGTCACTTTCAATACTTTCAACTTGTGCGTTAAAGCCTCTATCGAGTTGGCATTGTTTTCAGATTCAGATAATCTCTGTGCCTTCTTCCCTTTCTTCGATTTAGAATTCGCAGAAACAGAACCGTCCTGCTTTGCGCAGTGCAATTTCACGTATTCCATTATCTGCTTGGTTCTGCATTGATCGACTAACTTCGACAATCTCTTGTCCGTCAATGCGTTTCCTTTTAAATCGAGGTCCTTCAACTTGTTGCAATCAGCTATTTCACCTGGAACAGCTGTATCATACCGATTAATTCGACCAATCGAACGGAATAGTTTTGAACTCCCAGACACAATAGATTACCTGTAATAGAGTTGTCTGCGACGTTTAATATCTTCAACGATGCGAGCTGACTTATGGTGGTAGGAATTGCTTTTATCTTGTTTCCATTCGCGTAGATTTCGCTGAGGTGAATTAGCTCCGGGTAACAGACGTCGGGGAACTCCTCAAACTGGTTGTTGGAAAGGTCTAAAACGCTCAATTTGACGTTGCTCATCTGCGTTGGCAACGAGCGCAAAAGGTTCGAGCTCAAGTTCATCGTCGTTAGCTGGGGAAGTTTACTGATCTCATCCGGCAACGACGACAACTTGTTTCGCGAGCAGTCGAGGACCTTTAGTTTCTCTAATTTCACGATCGTGCCAGGTATCTTCGAGATATCGTTCGAATGCAGAACGAGAGTGGCTAAATTTACCAGCTGGCCAATTTCCTCCGGCACCTCGTGCAAGCATGTCTGTGTGATGTTCAAGTAGTTCAAGTGTTGCAGGTTAAACAGTGACTTGTCCAAGCCCCTTTTCTGGATCAATTCGGAGATCGCCGAGCCTGACAACACCAGCTCGTGTTTGTTCTCCGCGGCGGCGGCTTTGATTACGTGCCACGAATCGTCGATCGTCATTATTAACGTGCGTTAGATCGAGAATTTCTCGTATCCTAACGTCATACGCAGTACTCGGGTCGTGTGCCGTTACAGGTTACTTTGAATGCCGGTCTCCACGGTTTACAATGTGCGTTACTGGATGGTGGCGATTTCTAGCGGCGCGGCTAGCCGTAGGTACTGCTGTTCTTGCTGTTACCTGCCAAAAAGGTTTTTGAAATAAACAATTTCGTATATTAATTAATTATTGACGCTACCGAAAAGTTTATTATACAGAAATTGTAGGTATTGAAGTCCTCTACAAGAAAGATTCTATGTATTTT